AGCCACAATTCCAATGGGACTGCCACCAACACCCTGACCCACAGGGTGTCAGGTTGGGTTCTGACTCTGGCAGTGCTGTTCTAGTGTTCTGCATTGTTCATTTTATCCTTTTATTTTTCTTCCCTATTAAAGAACTGTTATTTCCTGCTCACATATTATTGCCTGAGAGCCCTTTAATTTCAAATTTATGGCAATTCAGAAGGGTGGGGAGGGTTTACATTCTCCATTTCAGGGGAGGCTCCTGCCTTCTTTAGCAGACTCCTGGCTTTCCAAACCAAGAGAGATGGAAAATGTGGAACAGGGCAGCTCTTGTACAGACCCTGATCTCCACATAAAGCTGATACCTGATGACTCCCACAACACAGAGAAGATTAAGGCATGAGTCTTGCACCAAGCAGGATGGAGAAGAAAGGCCTCCATCAGCTTTCTGAAACCCACAAGCAGATGAGATTTGCTCCATGAGAGGCGTTGCATTACTGTATTCATAAATCTTAGCTGCAAAACATTCATGTACATCCAGAGGACGCAGCCCCAGGCTAAGTAGTGCCATTTAAATCACATCATTTATAAACAAAAATATCTTCACCATTATAAGAGTTAACAAGCAAACCTTTCAACTGAAATATTCAATTCTGATCTCATTTTTCAGTAGTAACTCCTTACCTTTCTAATGAAATTAAAATGAAGCCCATTTTCCACTGCTAATTTGATATATTCCCTAACCAGAAGTGCTTTGCACTGGCTAACATTTATTTTAAAGGTCACTGAATTTATTCAGGGTAGAAGCTCTCTGGAATAGGAGATTGGAAATTTGGGGGAGAAGAGACTCCCAGCATTTTTTATTTATTACCTTTCCACTCTCATTCTGCCCAGTGCAAACTACTGATAGAAACAGAAATCTGATTTAAAAAGCATAAAATCAGGATTTGTTTAAACTTCTGACAACAAAACGCACACAGATGTTACAAAAGAAAGCAAAATTTTTGGTAGAAGCACAAGTACAATTAAGCTAAGGCTTTTTATTCTCTTCACAATTTTTGACCCAAAGACTACAACCATTTTCTTTCAAAAAACGCTTCTTTAGTGCTTTCTAGTGTTGAAACCAAGCAGCCCATTTGCATCTCAGGAAACTTCCAAAACAATGCAGCCCAGAAACCCATCCCTAGGTGCACTACCAGCAGCTGGTGCCACAGATAACGTCCATGTTTGAAAGAGGACAAAATGGAAATGGATGTTGCTCAGCTGGACTTGTCCCTCTGTGCTGCAGCCTCTACCAGACACAAACTCATTTTTCAATCACACTCCCCACTCAAAGCACCTCCAGGCACTGCCCTGTCCTTCCCTTCCCCCTTGGCACACACCAGCTGGCAGAAAGACTGCAGCTTTTTGGATTTGCTCCACACCTCCCACACGCCCTGACTTCCAGAGTGACATCAGTGTTGTCTCCTCGTGGCCTGCAGCTAAGAACAAAGAAAGTGGATTTTCCTCTTTCCAAGCAAGGGGAGCTGAAAACTCGCTGACAGGAGAAGCCAGAGGGAGGAACACCAAGCAGCTCAGCTGGGAATCACGCTCAGGGAGGTGCTTTCCCTCCCTGGGAGCAAAGCCACAGACAGCAGCTGACCCTGCAGCTAAGCCAGCCAAGCAAGAGGCACGACTCGTGCAGCATTAACAATTGCAGCAAACCCGCAGTGCCTGCACCGCTGCACTTCAAGGTTTGATTTACGCACCAAGGGTTTTCCAGGTGACTTCAGAGACTTGTGCAGCCAACAGCATTCCCACAATCGCCCAGGAGCAGCTCACCTACAGCCACTTCCACGTGCAATCACACAACGGCCTGGCAGGCACCTAAAGCTCACCCAGTGCCATGGGCAGGGACACCTCCCCAAACCCAGGCTGCTCCAAGCTGCTGGCCTTGGACACTTCCAGCATCCAGGGGCAGCCACAGCTCCTCTGGGCAGCCTGTGCCAGGGCCTCACCCCCCCACAGCCAAGGATTCCTTTCCAACATCCAACCTGAACCTCCCCTCTCTGTCGGTTTGAATCCATTCATTCCTCTCTGCCCTGAAACAGCCCATCCCCTTGAAACAGCCTCTTTCCACCTCTCCTTCATGCTCCTTTCAGGTAAGGGCCACCCCAAGGCTTCTCCTCTCCAGGCTGGACAATCCCAATCCCACCTCTGTCAGCCTCTCCCCATGGAACGGGTGCTCCATCCCTCTCATCATCCTCCTCCGCACCAGACAGGACAAAACCCTGGCCAGACACCGAAAGGAAACCGTGTTTCCAAGCGCCGTCTGAAACACAATGAAAAGTCGCCACAGGTTTCTCCTGGGGGCTGCCAGGACCCGCCACAGTGCACCAGGAAGAAGAGCAAACACATCCAGAAGCATTCCAGAGACACAAAGTAGCTCAGGCACCTCCTTTTAGCCCAGAGTAGTACCAGAGGCAGGCAGACAAGCGTTACCGAGCAAAACACTGTTCATGAATACTTAAAAACTCTGATTCTTGTACCGAGTCACTCACGGATTACGTTTCTAGAGGCACCAGAAAAGAAAATGTGTTGCGTTTGTAAGGATCAGTCAGGGTGCACCAAACTCACCGTGACCAGCTGAGGGCAAACAGTGTTAAGCTGCTGTCATTAACAGCTCATTAATTCAGGGAAAGAAATACGAAGAAAGAACACAGCCTGGCATTTCACTCATGTTTTACAAAGCACCACCTCCATCCTGCCCGGCTCTGCACATCTGTGACGTCCAACACCCCAGAAGTCCTTCACATCCTCTCACCCAGCTGGACCGGCTGGCTCCAAAGGCCCGGGGAGAATTCCCAGCCTCTCCAAGGACAGGGATGTGTGTTCTCCAGCAGACTGGAAGCTGCCAGACCTGTGGCCTGCACCCCAGCCACAGGGGTGACAAAAAGCAGCAACTGCAGTCAAGTTCATTGAACAGCACCCTCCCCAACCCTTCCCCAGCACGGCACGTCCGAGCTCACCTACCTCAAATGAGAGGCCGTGGGAGACACAGGCACCTGAGGGACCAGAAAAACAAAAATCAGGTTAGGAACGTGTAAGAGCAGCAGCACATCCTCCAGTGAGCCTGCACTGAACTGGGCAGCCACAAAAAAATACAGTTTTGGGGCAGCCTCTGGGTAAGGGACAGGACCTCTGGCCGTCTCAAAAAGGCAGGGAGAAAAGAGGGGACCTGCCAAAATAACCGTGTGAATCCTCATTCCTAAACCACTCCTGCATGGACAACAGGACAGGCTCACAGGGCTCTCCTGCTTCAGCTGTCCTGGCCTGCTAACTGAGAGAAAGCTCGTCCCAGACACGGACAGGGACCCAACCAATGTAGTCAAATATATTCACATATTTCACCCCAATTATCAAATAAGAGGTTAGGAAGTAAAACCAGGAATAAGCTGAATGACAGCTCTTCTATCGATTTTCTGGAAATGGTCACCCTGGACCAACTGCACATGATCTGTCTCCCAAAAGGGTGAGGGGAATACACAATCCAAAATAACCCAGGGAGCTCCAGGATGAAAGGGAAAGAGACCACGGAAAGGCTGCCTCGAGGGACCACCCAGAAAAGTCAGAATTTCCCTGCCAAAGAGTGGAGTTTCCCGAGAAATGCAGATTAGACCAATCTGTACAGAAAACCTGGGAGCTACACTTCTTGGAATCAAAAGCTCCTCCTTTGAGCTCGTCTTCAGCTCAGCTGCAAGTGGCTGTGGAGGCACCCCCGGGAATTATTTTCCCTTGCCAAGAAGATGAGCCCAGCCACATTTCTCTCAAATTCAACAAATAGCTGTTCTTTCAGCAAGAGAAAATAATTTCAAGGTTCATCATCCAGCTCCACCTCAAAATACAGTGCAAAACGCAAGGTCACACATTATTGGGAGGCATGGGCTGGGGGAAAAAAACCCCAAAAATTTAACATCAGTTAGTTAAGACCAGCACAACCCATCTGTTTTACCCCTCCAGGGCCGGCTGCCTTTCATTTTTAGCTCACTGACAGCTAGAGTTCCTTAAAATACCAGTGTGCTCATCCCCTCCGGGGCCAGAGCAGGGAATAGGGACCATGTAGGACTAGAAAGCAAATTCACCAACTCTGATCCCTCTTCCCCACAAACGGCAAAGACACAGCTCCCTGCTTTACAAGTTACCAAGGGAAACTAAGATACAACCCAGCTCAGCAGGACTTGGACAATCCTTACTTACAAATAAATTTTAGTTTTGTCCCCAATTATGGGGGGGACACACTAAACACAGCCAAACACACTACACACATTAATTAATTAAGATTGCCATGCAACAGTGCCCTGATTTTCCAAGAAACTCAAAGCCCCAGGTGTGATCACCACCTGTTGCAAAGCACACCTGAAAAGCATTCTGCAAATTACGACTTGCACAAACTGAAGCACCCCAAAAAGCACCCCGGACTTATTGCAGCGGTATTTTTGTGGGGGACATCTTGGATTCGGGTTGTTGGTAGCGTCATTTACCACAAATAAAAGCTCTGAAACCAGAAAAAGTGAAGTCTGTCGGAGTGCTACCCAACGAGTTAACACTGGGTAGCAAATGTCCAAGCCCAGCCCTAGCAGCGCCTCGGCTCGCACGCACATCGCTGGTTTGAACCGCTGCTGTTCACTGGGCACAGCAGCACTTAAATCGGGAATCACGGTGGGAGCAGGACTCGGGGAGACTGCCGCTTCAGAAACCAACAACCTACAGCCAAAGGACAGGCTGCAAAACCACCCAGGAGCACGAACGCATCCAACCCGCACCCCCGAACTCCGAACATCAGCACGGCACAGCCTTGCGCTGGCCACGAGTCCGTCCAGCACCCGACACAA